TCAAAGGCCAGGCTTGCAAAAATGTAGGCGAAACGTCGACAATTGTACACAGTAACGACTTTTGCTAATTAATGATCCCAAGCTTTCCAGGCAAAACTCACCTGGATATCATTGAGAGCGTGTGCAATCTTCTGGATGTTGAAGTGCAGCCCGGCCAAAGTAGAAACCGGCTCATCGGTGAACTTCGTTCTGGCCACTGCAGTTTTCACCTTGTCCAGACTCTGCAGATAGTCCTTCCAGACTTCGGCGTCCTGTTCCAGTTGGGCCTTCTGCGACTTGGCCGAATTGAGGGTGTTCTTCAGCAGCTGCGTGTGGTGCTGCTGCTCCCTGCTCAACTCCTCCTGCTCGTAGGGCGTCAAACTCGGCCAGATCCTGTCGGCGGCCTGCTGGAGCGCGTGGAACGCCAGCTCTTTGATGTTCGCCTCGGTGCTGAAGAAGACCTTGTGCTCCTCCAGGTCAGTGAAGATGTTCTCGAAGTCCACGCCGTCCTTGTGCAGGTTCAGCCGGATCTCCGCCTCTTTCACCCAGCTGTGCAGCTTCGCCTTGAGCTGTTCGTATTCTTCGCGGAACTTCCTGTTGCTCTCCAGATAGGCGGATTGTTCCTGCAGCTCTCTGGGAAGGGAGTTTATCAGCGAACTGGCCTCAGAGAGCTGCTCTTGCAGCGACCCTGGCAAGGCGTCATCGTGCTTCACGCTTTCCTGGATCTTCTTCAGCTTCTCCAGGTGGCTGTTGATGTTCTCGCCCAGGTCCAGGTGCTTCTTGATCTCCTTGTCCACACTGTTGATGTCGCGGTTTAGCAGCGGTCTGGACTTGGCGCTGCCTTCATTGGTGTGCAGCCAGTCGAGGATTTCCTCCAGCTCGGCAGCCAGCTTCCGGTACTCAGCTGCGGTGTTTTCATGCTCTTGTCGCTGCTTTTCCACCGCCTTCCTCAGGTTGTTCAGGGACTGTTTGAGCGACTGGAGCTGTTCAGTGATCTCGTTTCGATCCTGCACCGTGCAGTCCTGCGCGATCTGCAGGCCCTTATCGGTGGCAGAGGCGTGCAGCGCCTCACATTCCTGGATCTTCTGGATGATATCGTCGTATTTCTTGATTTTTTCTTCGACGGTTCCCCCGGATTTTTCAACATCGCGCACGATCTCCGTGTACTTGGTTATGAAGGTCATTATATCGGTGATGAGGGCCAGGTATTGCTCCCGCAGCAGCAGGAGCTGCTTGAGCTTGACTATTTGGTCCTCCACAGACTTAATCAGCTCGTCCTGCATACTCATCACGTTCTGCAGCTCAGCTGCACTGGCCCCTGCTACGTTGCTGAGCTTCGATTTGTCTGCCTTGATGTCTTTGAGGATGCGTTCGTAGGCGCCGAGCACGTTTTGAACGTCCTCCACGCGAGCCCCTATGGGCTTGTTGAGCTCATGAAGCTGATTTTGGACCTCCTTGACGAAGGCCATGCTCTCAGCCAGCCGGGCTTGGGCGTCCTTGATCTGCTGAATAGTGCGCTTCAGGTCGTCAGTCCTTTCCTTGATCAATGAGTCGATTCTGTTGTGGCGGTCCTTCAGGTTATTGAGGGTCTCCTTAAGGGTGATTTTGTCCGATTCGCTGATGGTGGGCAGAATGGCCTTTCCCTGCTCGCAGATTTTGCCGATGTCCTGCGCAACCCTCTGCGAGTCCTGGATGAGTTTTTCATACTTGGCCAGCTGCTCGTTGAGCGCCTCCAGGTTGGAGAGGCGCAGTTCGGTAGACGTGGCCACTTCAGCTTCTTTCAGCCAATTGACGCAGCGGTCGATGTCGCTCTCGAACTGCTTGCGGCCCTGCAGCAGGTCATTCAAGGCGGCCGTTTTGTGCTGGGACTCCTGCGTGAGGGCGCTGTACTCCTCTTTGAGCTCGTCTAGGAGATGCTGCAAACGCTCCCTGTCGGCCTCGTCGCATTCCCGCAAAATCCCGCTGCCTGCATTGAGGACGCTCCTCAGGTCAGCCTCGCTGAACTCCTTGATCTGCCCATCGTGCTCCTTTTGCTGGACGATGTCCTTTTCCACTTGGTGGGCCTGCAGTGGCAGGTACCCGCTCAGCTTGCGCACTTCGGCGTTTTTGCTCTTCAGCCACGCCTTGGCTTTGGCCAGGTCGGCCTCAAAGGTCCTGCGGGTGTCCGCTGCGGCGCTCAAGCGGGCAATTTCCTGCTTGGCCTTGCTGACCAATTGGGCCTGCTCAGCGCCCAGGTTCTTCAGCGCGCTGTCCAGCTCGCTGAACTCTGACGGCTCCAGCTCGCTGCTCATGTTGTGGAGGCGCTTCAACAGGGCGTCCTTGAGGATCACTTTGTTCTCCGCGTCCTTTAGGAGGTCCCTGAGCGAGTTGAGGCGCTCCTCCACTTTGCCGCTCTCGCAGCTGAGCGGCTTGGCCTTCTGCAGCTCGGCCAGCTTGTCTTTGACCCAGTTTCGGGCGTCGTCGATTTCGCTCTTGGTGCCATCAATGCCCTTCCTGGTCATCTCCAAGACTTGCGTCTTGCGCTGCAGCTTCTTGCTTATGTCGTTGCAGCGCCGCTCGGCGGACTTCACCTGCTCCTCGATCTGCTGCGAGTCGAGATTGTTGACCACCTCCACCACTCGAGCGGCCAGCCGCTTCAGCTCCTCCATCCGTTGCGGCTGAAGTTCATCGAATTCGTCCTGAATGTCCCCGATGGCTGTTTGCTTCTGCTGGCAGTTCAGGCCCGAGCCTTTGTCCACCACATCGATCCTCTTGTTCAGGTTGTCGAACCAGGTGTTGATGGCCTGCAGCTGCTGCTTGTATTGGTCGATGATCGCCTGCTTGCTCTGCTTGTCGGCTATCACCGACAGCAGGTCTTTCTCCAGCTTGTCCAGGCCTTTGGCGAGCTCCTCGTCGGCTCCTCCAGGCCCAGACAGCTCAGTGGTCAGATGGTGGCGGCGCTGCGCGATGGCGCTGAGCAGGTCGCTCATGTTGCTCAAATCCTGCTTGGCTGCATCAGCTCGCAATTTGTTCGGTCGGTTGCGCCATTCGTTGATCGAGTCGCCTTGGCCCTCCATCCAGGTCTTCAGCGTCGCCTTTTGCTTCTCCATTTCCTTCAACTGGGTGACCGACGATGATAAATTGCTCAGATGCGCTTGCACCTGTTGAGGAGGAAGTTAAGGGGTTTTTTAAATGGTGAACTGTTCCACTGCTTTGACAAGTCGCACTGAAACAGCCGAGTTCCTCCGCAGGAGAAAACCTCTGTTAACAAACTGAGCTCGGGTGTTCCATTGCGAGCATTTGGTGCGGCCATCCAAACATCTCAAGCTAGTTTTTTCACCTACCTTTTGGGGTTTG